CAAGGGGGGTCGTCGGAGGAAATTTTTTTTCGTAATATAGCCCATATAAGGCGCCGGTCAGTCGAGGTCAGTTTTGACCCCCTCCTCGTGGACTCTTCGGCCAACCGTCACCGGCCCTCGTGTTCTATCGCCCCAAGGCACCATCGTGCCAAATTTGACGCGCCTGCGGCGCCGGGAAGTGCCCTGTCGGGCACCTGACCACTTTGCTTTATATATATAGATAAAGCGAAAATAAAAACAACCTTACATCTTAATACTACTAAAAGTCAAGTTTGTTTACATGTTTGAATATTTATTTGTTTGTTTTTTTGTTTGTCCGATCGAAAATTGTGATATGTTCGACTCTGTCTGGAGAGCTGTAAAATAGTATGTAGGTAGAGAATAATTTTTTAATGCAGACAGACTGTTAATCACAAATTTATTTAAAGACGTTAATTAATTTATTGATTTATTCATAAGTAGAGTAACCCATTTTTTTAAAAAGATTTGAAAAGCCACTAGACTCGACGGAAACAGTGACGTCACATGATGTGTTTATTTTTTTACATCGATAATGGCGGCCTATCGAAGAAGATTGTGTTCCCATTCCAATGTTTAACGCGTTCTAAAGCTAATTTTCTGTCGGCTTTAACTTTACGTTCCAACACTTATATCAATTTTCAACTGTCTTTTTCATTTAGTTTTACAATAAATTTCTCTAGATCTAAAGATCAGCTGTCGAAGGAAAGTTATTTATAGATCTAGATCTAGAATCTAGAATCTAGGTCAAATCAATGATTTATTAGTTATAAATACAATCCAAAAAAAAAAAAAACCAGACTTTAGCAAACCAGTCGTAGATCTAGAATATAGATAATTCTATCTAGATTTAGATAATAATGAGTTTCTATATACTAAACTATTTTAGAACTTTATTATTTTATATAAATCTTTGTTTGTATAGCTATGAAATATGCTAATTAGGAAATGCTGGATGCAGGGCCTATTTGCATAACTTAAGATTCATACGCGGCTTCTATACCGCTAAGTGTGCAAAATTATAGACGTAAACTCTAGATATAGCTCAGTCGTAGATCTAAAATATAGATAATTTTCTATCTAGATTTAGATAATAATGATTTTCTATATACTAAACTATTTTAGACCTTTATTATCTATCTATATACTACTAAAAGTCAAGTTTGTTTACATGTTTGAATATTTATTTGTTTGTTTGTTTGTTTGTTTGTTTGTTTGTTTGCCTGATCGACTATTGTGATATGTTCGACTCAATCTGGATAGCTGTAAAATAGTATGTAGGTAGAGAATAATTTTTTAATGCAGACAGACTGTTAATCACACATTTATTTAAAGACGTTAATTAATTTATTGATTTATTCATACGCAGAATAACCCATTTTTTTAAAAAAGATTAAAACGACCACTACACTCGGCGGGACCGTGACGTCACAGGTTTTTGTTTACTCTTTAGTACAATAAAATGGCGGCGTCTATCGAAGAAAATTGTGTTCCCATTCAAAAGTTTAACGCGTTCTAAATCTAATTTTCTGTCGGTCATAACTTTAACAATACGTCCGTTTGCTGTATTTATTACGTTCCAACACTTATATCAATTTTAAACTGTCTTTTTTCATTTAGTTTTACAATAAATTTCTCTAGATCTAATGATCAGCTGTCGAAGGAAAGTTATGAATCTAGCCTAGATCTAGATCTAGCCTAGATCTAGGTCACTAGACTCAATGTAAATTCTAGATCTAGACTTAATGTAAATTCTACATCTAGAATCTATTTCAGGCCTTAATACATCTAGAATCTATTTCAGGCCTTAATTATTTTATATAAATCTTTGTTTGGCTAATTTAAGATAAAATTTAATTTGAAAGTTACTAGATTCTACTACTAGACGTAGATCTAGATCTATGCGCGGAGACTCAAAAGTATAGTATAAAAATTATTTGTGACGTCACGAGTAAATAGCTAAGTTGATAGCGTAGTCCGCTCTCATGTGGGTGGCACAGGTTCTAGACCAATATGTCAATGATCTTTTTTTTTCAATTTTTTTTTAGATGTGAATGATAAAGTTGCCTATCTGAACTTGGCAGGATACAGGGCAGGTGAAGTAGAGTTCATCTGTTTCTTTGTCCTAAGCATATGAAAGGATAGTGTGGTCAGAGACATGCTCGGCTGGAATCGTTTTTTAAACGATAAAAACATGTTGTCTGAGACTTGGCGGGACACTGGGCAGGTGAAGTAGAGTTGAGTAGGTCACATGTGACGTCAGTATATGAAGGGATAGTCCGAAATCGGTGTTTTCGGTGTTTTTAAAAGATAAGAAACATATTTTTGAATGTGGGGTCTGTTTTTCGTGACGATAAGTGACACTGCAGTAGCGTAGCGAGGAGGCAGGGGGGGGGGGGGGCGGGAGGGGAGGCGGGGGGGGGGGGTAAGGGGAGGTGGAGGGGGGAAGGGGGGGGCGGGGGGGACATATGTTGGGGCGCCAAAATGGTTTGGAAAAATAAATTGAAAGGTTGAGGGGGGTTCAAATCGAAAGTTTGAGTGGGGGGGGGGGGGGTGCACATCAAAAGTTTGAGGGGGGGGGGGTTGAAAATCGAAATCTTGGGGGGGGGGGGTTAAAATCGAAAAATTTGTCCCCGGGCGCCGGGAAGGGTCGCTATGCCTCTGAGTGACAGACGTGATGTTTTTTGATGGATGACCCCCGAAACCCACAGTTATCCAACGGATGACGGGTATTCTAGTTTTATATAAATCTTTGTTTGGAATATGGTAATTTTGAAATGCTCGCTCCGGGCCTATAAGCGTAGCTAATGATTAGATCTAGATTCTAGGTCTAGCAAGAAAAACTAAACATAAGAAGACTTAAGCAAAAGAGCCGTAGAATCTAGACTAGATCTAGATAATTCTATCTAGATCTAGATAATTTCAGACCTTCTTTATTTTATATAAATCTTTGTTTGGCTAATTTAAGATAAAATTTAATTTGAAAGTTACTACTACTAGCGTACTAGAGTTAGATCTAGATCTATATGCGTAAATCAAGTTGCATAAGGAGACTCATAGTATAGTATAAAACTTCACTTGTATTGCCACGAGTAAATAGCTAAGTCGGTAGTGAGGTCGGCTCTCATGCGGGTGGCACAGGTTCTAGACCAATTCGTCAATGATTTTTTTTTCAATTTTTTTTTTTTAGATGTGAATAATAAAGTTGCCTATCTGAACTTGGCAGGATACAGGGCTGGTGAAGTAGAGTTTGTCTGTTTCTTTGTCCTAAGCATATGAAAGGATAGTGTGGTCAGAGGCGTGCTCGGCTGGAATCGTTTTTTAAACGATAAAAACATGTTGTCTGAGCACTTGGCGGGACACTGGGCAGGTGAAGTAGAGTTGAGTAGGTCACCTATGAAGTCAGTATATGAAGGGATAGTCCGAAATCGGTGTTTTCGGTGTTTTTAAAAGATAAAAAAACAAATTTTTGAAAGTGGGGTCTGTTTTTTTGTGATGATAAGTGACACTGCAGTAGCGTAGCGGGGGAGGGGGGGGGGGGCGGGGTGACACATATGTCCCCGGGCGCCGACCTTAGGGGGCGCCAAAATGGGTTGGAAAAATAAATTGAAAGGTTGAGGGGGGGGTGCAAATCGAAAGTTTGAGTGGGGGGTGGGGTTCAAATCGAAATCTTGAGGGGGGCGGGTGCACATCAAAAGTTGGGGAGGGGGGTTGCAAATCGAAATCTTGCGGGGGGGGGGGGTCAAATTGAAAAGTTTGTCCCCGGGCGCCGGGAAGGGTCGCTATGCCTCTGAGTGACAGACTTGATGTTTTTTGATGGATGACCCCCAAAACCCACAGTTATCCAACGGATGACGGGTAGTCTAGTATATAATAACATTTTAAATGCACTAAGGCCGTTAAACATTAGCTTGCAACCTGATCGACCCCTTACATATTCTAGCGATCAAAGCTTTTAATAATCAAAGCAAGTTGTTTTTATTTTATTTCTCATTTTCATTGAAGTTAAAAGTTTGTTATTATAATTTTTACATCTGTGTTATTTTCCATTTTTACACGTTTTTATTTAACTCCTTTAACTTCCTTTGTCTGTCTGTCTAGATCGAAACGGCCGAGCGAAATTGCAGGTACTTCTAACTGACAGATACGGTTCGTATTTGGTACGTGGGTCCAGTGTTTCTTCCAGACTTTTTTCTCCGGGGGGGGGGGGCACTTGAAATTTTCGGGGGGGGGGGGGGCGGTAGACTTTCTTTGGGGGGGGGGCGGACACTGTTAAAAGTATATATTTTCTATATAAATTATATAAATTTCATTTCGTTCGGGGGGGGGGGGGGCGGTAAAAATGCCTGGAAGAAACTCTGCGTGGGTCAAAATGGAGTTCTATGATTCCACAAGCAAACAATCAAACATACGGATGTTGTCAACTAAGTAAAAGAGTGTAAAAGTACAATACAATACGATAACCTCAAAAGGCAATACAAATTATATCGGTACGGATAAATCACCAACGAGTTCAATGTTAGAGTGAAAAACTAATTTTATTGGTGTGTGTGTGTTTTATTTCCAATTTTAACATCTAACGCGTTTTTGAAATATGAATCGTATTGGTCAGATAACAATATAATTTTTATGAGAAACTAGGGTACATTCCTCCAGACTTTATGCTAGCCTACATTGCAAATTATTTTTAGGTCCTTTCTTTCCACTATGGACACTTTGCTCACGAGATTATGATTTTAAAGTGGCGACTGAGGTAGTTGATGGTTATTGAAAGTCAGTGTCTGCATTATTGACCTATTTTGCCGGCTTGGTCGACCTCTGTTGCCGGCATAATTGACCTCTGTTGTCGGCATGGTTGGCCTTTGTTGCCGGCACAAAAGACCTATGCTTTGGTTTCTTTTGTGTAAAAAAAAAAGTTGTAGAAAAAACTAATTCCATCCCATAATATTATTAGCCATTATTTCAAATACGCCGTGTGTTAATTACCTTAGAGTAATATATCCAGTAAAGATGGCAGGGTAGGAGAAAAACAAAATGTACATGTGTCTTTCGCCAGCACCATTAGATGCATAGGATTTCCGAGACGTCGTACTACCACCTGTGTACTCTAGAAAAAAAAAATGTACAACCTTTCTTGATAGATTGTAATTTTTTTTATTACTTCAACAACTTATATATTTCTCAATCAGTCCTTTATTCTGATTGACTGATATCAATCTGATATTAGTGTTAATCGGGCATATATATATATATATATATATATATATATATATATATATATATATATATATATATATATATATATATATATATATATATATATATATATATATTTATATAGATATAGATATAGATATATAATTAGCATGGATTGATAAAATGCACCGTGGTAGGTAAAACACGGATATTTTAAATATTGCCTTTTGTTTATTTTATGGATTAGTTGGGGTACTATAGTCGTTTACTAAGTTGAATCAGGCGGTTCCGCGGGCGCCCCGGCCGGGTGTTATTTAGCACCACGGGCTAGACTGTGAGCACCTTGTGTTTATGTTTGCATTTAAGTTGTGTTTATGTTTATGCGTTTGCATTTTCGTTTGTTTTTACTTTCTCGTATATACGAAGTATAGAGAAAGTCTTGTAATCGTGCAAAAAAATCGAGATTTTTGCAAATCTCGACGTTTTACATCTCACTGATACGGAAAAACATAATTTTGCAACCTTGTCCGTATGTCTCTCTGTGTGTGTGTGTGTGTGTGTGTGTGTGTGTCCTTGTGTAAACACGATAACTTGAGTACCGTTACAGCTAGGTTGATGAAATTTCATGTATAAGTATTTTATCAAAATCGTAGATCCGTATCAACTTTTGAGCGATTTCCGATAACCGGAAGTGGTACTTTTTCTACTTTGAATTTTTCAAAAGCCTATAACTTGAGTACTATTTCAGATAGATAAATGAAATTTGATATGTAAGTAAAAGATCTAATTCTCTACCTTCTGTCAAATTTTGAGTAATTTCCGTTGACCGGAAGTACTTATTTACGCTATTTCCGATTTCTCAAAAAAAGCATGTAAATTTATAAAGTACTAATAATATTGCGCAGTATTATGCACCTTTATTTAGCGTTCACTTGGTGTGCATTTCTTTTTTCTACGAGATTATATTCTATTTTAAAAAATTTGAGTAATTAAAATGGATTAAAAATTATGTCTAGAAGTCTATATCCCGAGTTGCCATCCCCCATAGTGTTATATTAGAATATTCGAGAAAGTTTAGGGGAGATCACTCTCGGTTTATTTTACGTTTGCATTTGTGTTTGCATTGTCTTTATGTTGTGTTTGTTTTTCTTTTGTGTTTTTGTTGTGTTTGTGTTTGCGTTTAGTTTCTTTCTGTTCCAAGTTGGTATGTTTTAAAAAGATTGACCGTGGCGAAGCACGGGTATGCAGCTATTATATATATATATATATATATATATATATATATATATATATATATATATATATATATATATATATATATATATATATATATATATATACCTGTGGAGAGGTGTGGTTGGAGCCCTTTGCTCCCCAGGAGCCACAAATGAGATATGAATAATTGTTATTTATATGACATTCAAATTTCCTATTGGGTCAGGGGTGATGTTGAAACACCCTGTCATCTCATTGAATCAGTGTAATATTTAAAATTGTTAAATAATAGACTTTAAAAACTAAAATTAGCATAGATTCGAATGTTATAAAATAGCTTTTATTTTTTTTTAAAATCCCAAAATATATCCCTTTACAAACAACTCATATGAAACATTATCTACCTGGTAATTTGATGTTTGTTTCATTCCACACAAATTTTACTTCCAATCTATCATTTACTTTCCATGGCACGAACGCGAACACAGCATAGTAGTTTTCATCACCTAAAAGAGTAGATACAAACCAAGAAATAAATTAACAAGCACGTAAAAATTATATTATTTTGTAAGAAGACGGGTGTCTACCACGAATTCAGTTCTCAAAGTCCCTGATGGGTACCTAACTCAAGCTATATATTTTTATAAAGGCAGCTGACAGGAATTTTCAGACAGAAATAGTGGAGTGGAAAGCAAAGCTAAGCTAAGATGCTGAGTTAAGTAGCTGAGCAGAGCATAGCAAAGTAAGGTAAAGTAGAGGTAAAGTAGAGGTTAAGAAGAGGTAAAGAAGAGGTAAAGTAGATGTAAAGTAGAGGTTATGTAGAGGTAAAGTAGAGGTAAAGTAAAGCAGAGGTAAAGTAGAGCTAAAGTAAAGCAGAGGTAAAGTAGAGGTAAAGAAGAAGTAAAGTAGACGTAAGTAGATGTAAAGTAGAGGTAAAGTAGAGGTATAGTAGAGGTAAAGTAAAGTAGCGTTAAAGTAAAGGTAAGTAAAGTAAAGTAGAGGTAAGATAGTGGTTTTGTAGAGGTAAAGTAGAGGTAAAGTCAAAGTCAAAGTCAAAGTTAAAGTCAAGTCAAGTCAAGTCGAGTAGAGTAGAGTAGAGTAGAGTAGAGTAGAGTAGAGTAGAGTAGAGTAGAGTAGAGTAAAGTGAAAGTAATATATATATATATATATATATATATATATATATATATATATATATATATATATATATATATATACATATATATATAATTAAAAATCTTATGCTAACATGATAGCTACCTAAAATGTTTGTCTCAGTACTCGAAAACTCAATGATCCAGTCAGTGTGACACTCAGGGTAGCACATCCGCGAAAAGCTGCTCACTTTAAAATTGTCACCGGGTCTTGCGCGAAACGAATCTTTCCTAAAAGGTGATTATTGACGATGCAACAAACAGTAACTGATGACTAAGCCCATATTATCGCTATCTTGTAAATATGCACATATATTTCAATATGTTAACGTGTATATACGTTTGGATCTGGTTGTGTGGGTTTATATATATATATATATATATATATATATATATATATATATATATATATATATATATATATATATATATATATATATGTGTGTGTATATATATATATATATATATATATGCATTTGTACCTTGAGAAATATAACTTTCCATCACAACAATTCTGCATGTCCTGAGCAACCGTGACATAGATATATATATTGACATACATATCCAAGGCGCTTAAACTCAAGTCCATGAAATCAAGCTGAGGTAGATTACTTTCGGCATCTGATCAGGAAAAAATCATTCAATTAACATATGTAATTTACCACTTAGAGTAAATGGGAGTTGATAGTTACAATAAATAAAGAAAAATGTATTCGTTTTAAATTAAATCTACATATAACTCTCTACCAAGTTATAAAGCCCTCTTCACTAAATCTGTGAGGTCTCAACAGCCTAAACATTTTAAACTAAGCATCCTCATTCCTTTTTAATACAGCCTATGTAGCAGAATAATATTCAGTTACAGCTTATTCACTCCTCAATGAACAAGGATGACGTTGTAATATGATCGCATTGGGATTACAAAGCTCCTCAAACTACACATTTTTCGCATCTCACTGCCTCCAAAATAACAATGCAAAAGTACGACTTCAAGACAAATCAACACGAAGTCACTTCCTTTCAACCAGATCTCTATCAACATCGTCACACTGTCTACATTGTCACACTGTCAAGACTGTCCAACTATCGACAACGTCACACTGTCCACGTTGTCACACTGTCCACATTGTCACACTGTCCACATGGTCACACCGTCAACATCGTCACACTGTCCACATTGTCACACTGTCCACATCGTCACACTGTCCACATCGTCACACTGTCCACACTGTCACACTGTCCACATTGTCACACTGTCCACATTGTCACACTGTCCACATTGTCACACTGTCCACATTGTCAAACTATCCACATTGTCACACTGTCCACACTGTCACACTGTCCCACTGTCCACACTGTCTACATCGTCACACTGTCCAACTGTCCACATTGTCACACTGTCTACAACGTCACACTGTCCACATCGTCACACTGTCCACATTGTCACACTGTTCACATCGTCACAATGTCCAACTATCTACAACGTCCCACTGTCCACATTGCCACACTGTCCACAACGTCACACTGTCCACATCGTCACACTGTCCACATTGTCACACTGTTCACATCGTCACAATGTCCAACTATCTACAACGTCCCACTGTCCACATTGCCACACTGTCCACAACGTCACACTGTCCACATCGTCACACTGTCCACATTGTCACACTTTCATACCGCCACACTGTCAACATTACCACACTGTCCAAATCGCCACACTGTCCCCATTGTCACACTGTTCGGATCGTAAAAAGTTTCCGAGGCAAACAAAGAAACTGAAAAGTTCGTAGTCCATTCGAAACAGACAATAACACATGTAAAGCGAGACTTTACTTTGTCAATAACCTACCCCTGAAATCATAGTATAAAAGTCGTACGACTTTATTTGAAAAACGCTGAATGCATTTTTTTTTTATTTTACAGAAAGTTAGCTAATAGAGGCGGGTTGGGGGGAGGGGGAGGGAGCTTGAAAAATGAGGGTGAGGGATGCGGTGGTGAAGATGTTGGTTGGGGAGCAGTGCTTACTCCCAAACACCCTGACAGATGCTTGAAATAAGAACAAGCTGAATGGATACTGCGCCCCATTGAAGTGAAAGAAAGACCAATAATTTGTTCCAGAAAGATTACTTTGTGTTTTTTAAAATACGACTCACATTCCTGAAACTTGCCAAAACACTGACTGTCACATATGAAGCCTTCAGCACACGCCATATACTTTTCAAACATAGAAGATCCATCAGTGTAATATACCTGTAGTCCAACTATATCTGTAAGTAAAACGATACGTATAGTACACAGATAATCAATTTTTGTAAGACTGAGTCAAACATAGAAGAGCCATATGTGTAATATACCTGTAGTCCAACTATATCTGCAATTCAAACAAAACGTATAGTACACAGATAATCAATTTTTGTAAGACTGAGTCAAACATAGAAGAGCCATCTGTGTAATATAACTGTAGTCCAATTATATCTGTAATTCAAACAAAACGCATAGTACACAGATAATCAATTTTTGTAAGACTGAGTCAAACATAGAAGAGCCATCGTGTAATATACCTGTAGTCCAACTATATCTGTAATTCAAACAAAACGCATAGTACACAGATAATCTATTTTTGTAAGACTGAGTCAAACATAGAAGAGCCATCAGTGTAATATACCTGTAGTCCAACTATATCTGTAAGTCAAACAAAACGTATAGTACACAGATAATCTATTATTGTAAGACTGAGTCAAACATAGAAGAACCATCAGTGTAATATACCTGTAGTCCAACTATATCTGTGAGTAAAACAAAATGCATTTAAAAAAAAAGACGTTTTAATAACAAGTTTTTATGTAATAATGCACCAACAAGAAAAATTAAATGATTTTCTTTACATATGTAATAAATAGCCGTCGGTAATCGTTACGCGTGAATTATAGGCCTATATATTTTAATGTTTTACTTGTTTGAGAAAAATATTTTATAAAAAGTTTACTGATGTTCAAAACTCAATCTGCTTTCTACACGTTGGACGTTATTAGTGACAAAGCATTGAAATTACAAAAGAAGGTAAAAAATCCGACACATTTAAAATAACAAAGAGTACCAATACCTATTAGAAAAATTAAAACCAAATTATATGCATTATTAGTCAACACCAGGGGCGTAGCGAGGGGTGGGGCGGGGGTGCGGACCGCACCGGGTGACACCATTTATGGGGGTGACACCAAGGCAAAAAATAGCGAAATATATAGAGAAAAACTTGGGGGGGGGGTGGAAATCGAAAGTTAGAAGGGGGGGGGGGTGCAAATCGAAAACTTTAAACGGGGGTGCAAATCGAAAGTTTGAGGGGGGTGGGGGGTGCAAATCAAAAGTTTGAAGGGGGGGTGCAAATCGAAAACTTGAAAGTTTGTCCCCGGGAAGGGTCGCTACGCCTCTGGGGGGTGACACCATTAAGTGCCGCACCGGGTGACACCCGACCTCGCTACGCCACTGGTCAACACAACACCATATTAAATGCACACGCTGATTAAGAGATTTAAAATTAAGAGACTTAAATGATTTCGTTAAAAGCCCGGCTGTCCGATGGTAGTATTTTAAAAACACATATTCCGGCTGAGCATGGGTCTGACCACACTATCCCTTCATATGCTGAAAAGACAGAAACTTGTGAACTCTGCTTCACCTGCCCCGTGTCCCGCCAAGTCCCGATAGGCAACTTTATCATTCACATCTTTTTAAAAAATTGAAAAAAAAAAAGTTAACGTTGACGTGTGTATTGCTAAACAACCAAAGATGTATATAAAATAATGAAGGATATAAAATAATGAAGGCCTGAAATAGTTTAGTATATAAACTCTTTATTGGCATAGATTCTATTGCTGGGTTAAGTCTAGTTTTTCCGTAGATCTAGATCTAGATCTAGAATCTAAATAAAGTAAATTTTATAAGTTTAGGCCGAGAAAATGGTATACATTTCATAGCGTACGTCTTGATAAGTGGATCTAGTTCAAATTTGAATGAAACAGTTCATTTCTTTGTATTCTAAAACTGGAAGATGACGCCATTAGTTTTTAGCGCAATTTCCATTCTGGAGAATTGCGTTTATTAACTCGTCATTTCTGGGAATGGATGGATGAATGAATGAATGTATGGATGAATGTGTGTCCGGGCTTTAAGTCGTATCTCCTCCTCAACGAAGCAATATCGATGACTAGTTCCAAAAGCAATTATGTTAAGCAAGTTACGAGAATGAACATAGGCCATAAAAATTCCGGGTTTCTTTCATGGATTTCCCGGAAAAGCCAAAAAACCTCGATAAAAAGCAGTTTTTGGCCTATATCTCGGCAACCAGACCACTTAGCGACTTGAAACATGTACCAATCGATTCCTGCCATAATTTAGAACAATATTGCAGAAGAAAGTTTTCAAAAATATCCTTTCGTTCGGTCACAAAAATTTTTTTTAATTAATTAAAATTTGGACCGAATTAGTAGGCATTTTTTCCAACCACACCACACGCGTCATCACGTTCAATAGCTGCGCCATCACGTTCAATGGCTGCGACATCACGTTCGGTAGCTAGGCGCGCAATGGTTTTTAGTCATGTAACTCTATTGTAATTAAAACATGTAAAATACTGAAAAAAAAAATAAAAAACGTTTTAATAACTAACCAATGGTTTTACTAACCCTGCTCTTGATTTACGCTACGACAGAGCTATTTTTAGATAACATAAGGAAATTGCGCTAAAATTGTCACTAGACTTTTTTAATTACTTGTTTGTTCTTTCCTTAGTTTAAACATGTGGCGCATTAGACGTCATTGTTGGTTGCGTTCTTGTCACGACAATAAACACTTTAGTTAGAAATGTGTTTCTTCATTCGAATATGCCTTTATTTTTATATTTCTTCTTTAAATAAAATGTAGTTAATACATTTATAACATCCACCATATTATTTTCAACATATCTTTAAGTTCTCCCTATACATCGCTGAACATACTGATCACGTTGCCAAACATATTGCGTACAGAGAAAGAGAAAGAGAGACAGAGAGAAAGAGAATTGCGCACATGGACTTTTATTTATTAGAATAAACTACTATTTAAAGAACTAATAAAAATGTGTGTATAATAATGTGGAACATTAGTACCTTTTAAATGCATATGCGTATTTTTTTTAGAGATCAGAAATAACGTAAATTACTACTTCCGGTACACGGAAAGTACTCCAAAATTTCACAGAAGGTAGAGAACTAGATCCTTTACCTATATGTGAAATCTCGTCTATCTAAAACAAGTTATGAGCTTTTGAAAAATCAAAAGTAGAATAATTTCCACTTCCAGTAACAGAAAATTGCTGAAAAGTCGATACAAAACTACAAATTCGATAGAATACTTATATATGAAATTTCATCAACCTAGGTGTAATGGTACTCACGTTATCGTGTTCACAGATACACACATACACACACACACACACAGAAACACACACAGAAATACGGACACAAATTACAAACCCATGTTTTTCCGACCCAGTAACGTGGAAAACGTCTTTTTTTTTTTTTTTTTTTTTTTTTTTTTTTTTGCACGATTACTTACTCTATAGGCCTACTTAGTATATGAGAAAGGAAAAAAGAATTTGAGAAAGTTTGGAAGATCAGTCCCTTTTTAAATTTTTTTCATGACTCAAAAGCTGTGTGTTAATAAATTTATAAAATGATAATTAAGCATCCAAATATTTCAAATTTGATACCAAATTATATTGTCATCGGTCTAGACCCAAGTGCCAAGTTTCACAGAAATCAGTCGGTTAGAAGTCATCAAAATTTCGCTCGCCCTTTTCCATCCACGACGACAAAGACAAAAGCGAGTATGAGGAGGCAAGTGAAATAAACGCATGAAAAAAACAAGCTTATAATGCCTCTCTAGTACACCTGTATCTGTGAGTTTAAAGAAAAAAATCTTCTAATACACCTCTACTTGAACAAACCGTATCATAAGTTTATTCTAACAGCATTAATGATGATGTATAGTATGGCATAAAAACCACCTGAGCTAACCGTGGCCATCCCCGAGACTTGTCGAGACGGCATCCCTGCAGTTATTAGCTGTAACTTTGTTCGGTCTTTTCTTGAAGCAGTCACCCATATTGTACTCAACGTCTGGACGTTGTTTAAATAAAATAATGAGTATTGGATTGACGACGGGTAAAGGATTCGCGGGTGGTTGATACGGCCACTTTTCCTGTAAAAAAAAACATGCAACGATTAAATTGTTTGACGTATAATTAAGCGCAGCGAACATAAAAATAAATAAAACAACTGTAAAAATAATCTTGCTTAACGTCGTTCAGGGCTGTGTAAAGTTTATGCTATATTTACAAGCACTTATAGAAAACAACAACAACGTAAAATGACGATAATGATTTCGGATCAAAGTAGCATATATATATATATAAATATATATATATATATATATATATATATATATATATATATATATATATATATAGCCGCGTATTTATCTTAGATAAAATAACCATTCATTGGTTTTGAGAAGGCTTTCGATAGCTTACTTTTAGACAGACGTAACCAATGAAAAATCTTATGTGGTTTATTTTTGTTCAAATAAGTCATCACGGCCAGCAAAATTACATATGTACGCTCCCATTGAAGTGTCATACGTGGTCAACATATAGCGGATTCATTTGTAGATCAGAAAAAAGTCAATCAAGTCTTTGTTCTACCTCCATTGCTTTTAAAAATCTGGCTGACTGATTCGTATTGTTAACTCTTAGTGTCCGGAGTTCGGAACCCGGGCAGGCGATGCTCGTTAGCTGGGAACAGCGACCCGTCTAGTATAGAAAACTCCAGACTCACACAGCTGATATCTTGTAGTCTTAACTTTGATGGACTAAGAATATGGTAGGATATCCAAAAAGAAAAGCAGGTTGAAATCGGAGTCAATATGCCTTATGTTGCACAACCTGTAGTATTGTAATAAGATATCCCCTCCAATATTATTAAAAAATACTTTAAAAAAAACTTTTTAAAAAACCACGTTTTTCTTGTGGACTAAAAAGTAGAAAATAACTATTTACATACATTTGATGACAAAAAACGTGGGTACGTTCACCATCAAATTTCCCGACCCATCTGCCCGACCCACGTTTTTTGTCATCAAATGTATGTAAATAGTTATTTTCTACTTTTTAGTCCACAAGAAAAACGTGGTTTTTTAAAAAGTTTTTTTTAAAGTATTTTATTTTCTCCTTTTTAGTCCGTTGCTACACATGAAAAACGTGGTTTTTAAAAAGTTTTTTATATAGTTTATTTTCTACTTTATCTAATCACTTGATTAAGTATGACTTGACTAAGTGTTTTTAAATACACGGACTAAAAAAATCTTGAGCGACCGATACGCTTTAAACAGAGAAAGGGTGTAATTTACGTTGCTGGCGTGGAGATCTACTCACGAATCACGTGATAAAATCTCCCATAAACAAACAAATAAACGCGAAGCTGAGTTAAGGAAAAACGTGTTTATGTGTATTTTAGCATGCCCAGCGTACCAACCGTGTCACCGTTAACAATGTGTTACCGTGTCCGTTCTCCTTTTTAGTCCTTTGCTACACATAAAAAACGTGGTTTTTTAAAAAGTTTTTTTTAAGTATTTTATTTTCTCCTTTTTAGTCCGTTGCTACACATGAAAAACGTGGTTTTTAAAAAAGTGTTTATAAATACACGGACTAAAAATCTTGAGCGACCAGGATTCGAACCTGGGTTGTCGCGGCCACAACGCGAAGTACTAACCACTATACGATCACGGCCAGCGCGCTCACATCGATTGGGGCCGAAGTAACTGGGTCAATAGGCCTCCAGTCTTGTCGGTATCTTTAGAAATCATGTCCTCAATTTTATGGTCCTTGGGGCGTAATTAAATTAAGCTAATTACGGTCACTAATTGCTAGTTTTTATGATTGCATCTGAAATTGTTAGGCGAAAGTAGCATGCATGCCAAATTTCAGGTCTCTAGAGCAATCAGAAGTGGGCTAATTTTCGATGTCAATTTTAACAACAAACATCCAAACAACCAAACAAACAAACAAACGCGAAGCTGAGTTAAGAAAAACGTTTTAAAATGAAGAGAGAATCAGAAAACTGGCAGATGGCAAAAACTACAGACCAAACAACAAGCATCGGATGGTAACCTACAACCAGCCTAGAAAATATTGATTGTGCAGAAAGGGTCGGCGTGGTCGAGTCGGTAAAGCTCATTTTTGCTAAACCGGAAAGTCTCGAGTTCGAACCCTCGGGCAGATGAGGCTCGTTAGCTGGGGACAGCACTCTTCTACTAGAGACAACTCCAAAATCAAACAACTGCTGCCTTGTAGTTTGTTCTTGGTTGGACAAAGGCTATGGAAGCAAATCCAAAAAGAAAAGCAGGCTGAAATCGGAGTCAATGGCCTCAATGGCGCATAACCAATTGACACGTAACGCTTAATTGTGTTGGAGGCGTGGTCGAGTTCAAACCCACTGGCAGATAAATCTTGATCCCCTTCAACACTAATAATTAAGAACAAAGAAGAAGAAGAAAGATTGTGCAGACGACGACGTAAAACAATTTAATTAGCTAGTCGAGAAAAGGACATTCAAGGAAAAAATTAATAAACTGAGCTATTTTTTTTTTATTGCAGTTTGCAAGACGCAATAAAAAATTAACAGCACACAAGTTAATGGAGAAGTAGAATATTTTACGTAAGATTTCCCACAAGGGAATGGAAAAGGTGTGTCGTGAGTCGTACGGCCGATTAACTGTTCCCAAGTAAAGGGTTGTTTTTTGGGAACTACCATGAAAGGTTTCAAAAATCGAAAGAAAACGAAACAATATTCTGAGCCGAGTAGAAATGTGATGAAGAGATGCAACAAATACCTATATAATGAGATTTCAAAATAGGATACTGAAATTAAAATTTCATGATCAATGCATTTTATATTTATTTTTTGGAAAATAATTTTCCCTCGGGTAAAGCTTTAGGGCCGATGGGTTTTCGGTAAATCTCTAATGTTTTGTTCCAACTCCTATATAATAATATTACAAAATTCATGTGTTTATGTGCACCCAAGGTGCAGACAAATGCACACAAGGTACAGACAAATGCACACAAGGTGTAGTCAAATGCAGAAGCGTAGCCAGGGGATAGCTGGTGGGGTGGCCGCCCCGGGCGACGACCTTAAGCGGGCGCCAAATTGGGTAGAAATATAAAATAACCAGCTTATTCCGAGCTGCATTAAAGTCAAATTTAAGAAAATAGAAAGCTACTTGGTTCTAAGAACGGCTTTCTACTTTGCTTGTGTGAAACTGGAAAAAACTACTAACGGTTATTGATGTGTGCGTGTGGTTGGGGGGGGGGGGGGGGGGAGGGCGGGTATCCTTTTACGCTAACGTGAATAAATATATAAATATGGGGTTGGGGGGGGGGGGGCACAAAATTGATAGTTCGCTACGGGTGCCGCAATGTACACAAACTTTTGATTGCTTTAAAAATTGCCGTACATTGCCTGTCAAACATTGTATTTGTTCAGTTGAAAAAAAAAGTACCCTAAACGATTTTAATTAATTACATTTTCTCCACAAACATTGAATTAAATAACCTCTCCTTGAAAATCTCCATTGGAAGTCTGTATCCTCCTCCAATATCCCCTATAACACAAAAGACCGACGTCGTAGATCAGAAGCGAGTACTTGTCGTTTGCGTTAAGACCAAATTTAATTTTTGGCCGACTGCGGTAGATTTCGGATCCACGCTGAAATAGAAACAGAACGGTTTTTACATTTGTAAGAAATTTATAACAAATATAGCTAAACAGAAGTTGAATAAACAAAATAAAATAGTTATATTCTGAGAAAAAGAGAAGTAATGAGAAAAGAGAGGACATCGCAATGCACAGTTAACTGCGAATCAGGCAATAGGGTTGGAAAGCTGGATCCAAATAGTTCCAAATGGTTGTCGTCAGCAAGCATATATAGTAACAATGCATCACTGTGATCCTCCCCAACATTAAATGTGACATATCCATCCCAAGATAAGTTAACTCCCCCAAAAGTAAATGTGACATATCCATCCCAAGATAAGTTAACTCCCCCAAAAGTAAATGTGACATATCCATCCCAAGATAAGTTAACTCCCCCAAAAGTAAATGTGACATATCCATCCCAAGATAAGTTAACTCCCCCAAAAGTAAATGTGACATATCCATCCCAAGATAAGTTAACTCCCCCAACAGTAAATGTGACATATCCATCCCAAGATAAGTTAACTCCCCCAACAGTAAATGTGACATATCCATCCCAAGATAAGTTAACTCCCCCAACAGTAAATGTGACATATACATCCCAAGATAAGTTAACTCCCCCAACAGTAAATGTGACATATCCATCCCACGATAAGTTAACTCCCCCAACAGTAAATGTGACATATCCATCCCAAGATAAGTTAACTCCCCCAAAAGTAAATGTGACATATCCATCCCAAGATAAGTTAACTCCCCCAACAGTAAATGTGACATATCCATCCCAAGATAAGTTAACTCCCCCAACAGTAAATGTGACATATCCATCCCAAGATAAGTTAACTCCCCCAACAGCAAATGTGACATATCCATCCCAAGATAAGTTAACTCCCCCAACAGTAAATGTGACATATCCATCCCAAGATAAGTTAACTCCCCCAACAGTAAATGTGACATATCCATCCCAAGATAAGTTAACTCCCCCAAAAGTAAATGTGACATATCCATCCCAAGATAAGTTAACTCCCCCAACAGTAAATGTGACATATCCATCCCAAGATAAGTTAACTCCCCCAACAGTAAATGTGACATATCCATCCCAAGATAAGTTAACTCCCCCAACAGTAAATGTGACATATTCATCCCAACATAAGTTAACTCCCCCAAAAGTAAATGTTACATATCCATCCCAAGATAAGTTAACTCCCCCAACAGTAAATGTGACATATCCATCCCAAGATAAGTTAACTCCACCAACAGTAAATGTGACATATCCATCCCAAGATCAGTGAACCTCCCCCAACAGTAAATGTGACATATCCATCCCAAGATCAGTGATCCTCCCCCAACAGTAAATGTGACATATCCATCCCAAGATAAGTTAACTCCCCCGACAGTAAATGTGACATATCCATCCCAAGATAAGTTAACTCCCCCAACAGTAAATGTGACATATTCATCCCAACATAAGTTAACTCCCCCAAAAGTAAATGTTACATATCCATCCCAAGATAAGTTAACTCCCCCAACAGTAAATGTGACATATCCATCCCAAGATAAGTTAACTCCACCAACAGTAAATGTGACATATCCAGCCCAAGATCAGTGAACCTCCCCCAAAAGTAAATGTGACATATCCATCCCAAGATCAGTGAACCTCCCCCAACAGTAAATGTGACATATCCATCCCAAGATAAGTTAACTCCCCCAACATTAAATGTGACATATCCATCCCAAGATAAGTTAACTCCCCCAACAGTAAATGTGACATATCCATCCCAAGATAAGTTAACTCCCCCAACATTAAATGTGACATATCCATCCCAAGATAAGTTAACTCCCCCAACAGTAAATGTGACATATCCATCCCAAGATAAGTTAACTCCCCCAACAGTAAATGTGACATATCCATCCCAAGATAAGTTAACTCCCCCAAAAGTAAATGTGACATATCCATCCCAAGATAAGTTAACTCCCCCAACAGTAAATGTGACATATCCATCCCAAGATAAGTTAACTCCCCCAACATTAAATGTGACATATCCATCCCAAGATAAGTTAACTCCCCCAACAGTAAATGTGACATATCCATCCCAAGATAAGTTAACTCCCCCAAAAGTAAATGTGACATATCCATCCCAAGATAAGTTAACTCCCCCAACAGTAAATGTGACATATCCATCCCAAGATAAGTTAACTCCCCCAACAGTAAATGTGACATATCCATCCCAAGATAAGTTAACTCCCCCAACAGTAAATGTGACATATTCATCCCAACATAAGTTAACTCCCCCAAAAGTAAATGTGACATATCCATCACAAGATAAGTTAACTCCCCCAACAGTAAATGTGACATATCCATCCCAAGATAAGTTAACTCCCCCAACAGTAAATGTGACATATCCAGCCCAAGATCAGTGAACCTCCCCCAAAAGTAAATGTGACATATCCATCCCAAGATCAGTGAACCTCCCCCAACAGTAAATGTGACATATCCATCCCAAGATCAGTGATCCTCCCCCAACAGTAAATGTGACATATCCATCCCAAGATAAGTTACCTCCCCCGCCAGTAAATGTGACATATCCATCCCAAGATAAGTTAACTCCCCCAACAGTAAATGTGACATATCCATCCCAAGATAAGTTAACTCCCCCAACAGTAAATGTGACATATCCATCCCAAGATAAGTTAACTCCCCCAACATTAAATGTGACATATCCATCCCAAGATAAGTTAACTCCCCCAACAGTAAATGTGACATATCCATCCCAAGATAAGTTAACTCCCCCAACAGTAAATGTGACATATCCATCCCAAGATAAGTTAACTCCCCCAACAGTAAATGTGACATATCCGTCCCAAGATAAGTTAACTCCCCCAACAGTAAATGTGACATATCCATCCCAAGATAAGTTAACTCCCCCAACAGTAAATGTGACATATTCATCCCAACATAAGTTAACTCCCCCAAAAGTAAATGTGACATATCCATCCCAAGATAAGTTAACTCCCCCAACAGTAAATGTGACATATCCATCCCAAGATAAGTTAACTCCACCAACAGTAAATGTGACATATCCATCCCAAGATAAGTTAACTCCCCCAACAGTAAATGTGACATATCCAGCCCAAGATCAGTGAACCTCCCCCAAAAGTAAATGTGACATATCCATCCCAAGATCAGTGAACCTCCCCCAACAGTAAATGTGACATATCCAGCCCAAGATCAGTGAACCGCCCCCAACAGTAAATGTGACATATCCATCCCAAGATAAGTTAACTCCCCCGACAGTAAATGTGACATATCCAGCCCAAGATCAGTGAACCGCCCCCAACAGTAAATGTGACATATCCAGCCCAAGATCAGTGAACCTCCCCCACAATGTCAGTCGTGTCGTTTTGCCCATCTGCAGCATTGTTGTATTTGAGTCAGACAGAAGCGACGTGTAAACGGATCATGTAACAGCTTAAATTTATGAGAGGCTGATGGCTGTTTTACTTAAGAGATGAAATTTTTTAAAAATAATCTATACAGCTGTACAGATATGTACAAGGTATACTTTAGGATTGCTAGAATTTTACTGCATATTGAGAATCGGCCCTATATCTATCTATAAATGCAAAGTGAGGTGTGTTTGGTGTTAACTTCAAATCAGACACTGGCAGGTTAGTTGCAGGGAAATTGTTCTTTACAAAGTTTGCTGTTTACTCTCAATCTAACGGGAAAAAATTAGAGCCCTCTCTAGGGCTGGTAAGTAGTTCACCAACCAGTTCTACGAGTCAATAAAACCTGCATGAGCCATAGAACTGGTTGGTTCTACAGTCGAGTTAAAAGTGACTGAAAACTGACCTAGCCTGACCGTGGACTTATATAAATTATACTTTTTTTTATAGTGCTTGAATTAGATCGACTACTTGCAAATGCGACACACAATTGATATTAAGTAAGGGGATAGCTCTAGTGCAACTGGAAAAATACCAGATTCTCAGAAATGTCACATGGGGAGGTGAAATTTGACAAATTTTACCTTTTAAAGGAAAATAACTGCATCAGGAATTTAAACTTTTAATTTCACCCGTTCTCTGACTACACACAAAAATAAAAAAAATAAAACATTTGCATAAAAGAAAAATTCCTTTAAATGTCATACAAAACGGTTTTTAAATGGCTGTGAAAATTAATTAATAGTGACTAATAATTATTTCTTTTTACTTCTGTTTAATTACTCCATTTCAATTACCCCACCGCCGAAGACATTAATCTAAATCAAAAACTACAGAGGACACTACCTACCCCCTGACAATCACCCACCGATTAGGGTAACGGTTATGGTAACAATAACGAAAGGATATAATAAAGAAAAGGGATCGATCGAAGATTAAGGCAAAGCATAGGGTATTGGCTAGGAACAGGGTTAGGGATTAGGACAGGGCTATGAGGAAAAACGGGGATCAGTATTGGTATAATATGTGGGCCTATTATGTAGAAGAGTAATTAGACAGAGGGTTAATTGAGAGGAGGCAATTGATCTGGAGTCTAATGCCCAGGTGGGGGTAAAGGTGTCTAACGCCTTACACCCAGGTGAAGCATTTCACCATTCGGAAAAAAATTTAGGTCGAATTTTACTTATTTTAGCCAGTTGTAAATGTTATTGGCAAATCTGTGCCCATTATTAAACATTTGATACGTACTTGTGACTTTTATTTTTGCAAAAGATATAGATCATACTGTATGTGTACAATGTTCTATTACACTCTCTCTAATTTTTTTTTCATTTTTGTCCGTTTACGTTAATGTTACACTTTAAAAATAGTTTGCTATTACGGTGTAAGAAAGATAATACATATTATTACATGATACTATACCTATATTTTTTCTGAATATTTTAATTGTATAATAATTTGGTAGTTTTGCTCCCCAGGAGAGTGAAAGTGACAAACAAGTTGTTTTCTGTTTAATGGTTTGACTCTGATGCTCATTATATTTGTGTACCAAACCTTAATATTGAAGAAATGGCAGGTTTTGTGTACGTTATTTTTTAGAATCACGTTTATGTAAATCTCTTTCATTTTTCTTAAAACATTTTGTAAACAAATATAAACATATTTACGTTAACATTTACATTTGATCATGGCTATAAATGGATGAAGCAAAGCCTAGCCGATATCGGATAGTACAAAATGAAAAGCATTGAAATTAAATAATATAGGAATGCTTTTCCTTCCACAGATTTTACTATCTTATACAAGTTTAATCAAAGGGCTATTCTTATCTATATGGCTTGAAATTGTAACTTCCAAATAGAGAAATTGCAAATTAAAAAGAAATATTTTATTCATCTCACCTTTAGCAGTGATTTGACTGCACGTCCACTTTCAGGCAACTTAAAAGCTTTAACTTCTTCCATGGGTTGAGCTTTACCACACACATCTACATCCTCTAAACGAAAAAAAATTTGTACCACATACATCTACATCCTCTAAATATTTATATAATAGGTATACCTAATGATATGTTAACACTAAGTAATATTCTTGGACATGCTGTATTATTAACGACGATAAAACAAATATGATCACATAAGCCTGGCTAATGCCCAATCCTGTGTGACTTACTTAGCATAATCAAGATAAGCCCTTGAAGAGCAAAGGGCTACACATTCACCTCCCCGAAGTCTCTGTTTTGGGCAGCTCTGTTTCGTTGAGCGCATCTAAGCCCTTTTTCCCTTGCTTTTCCTTCCACAAATTTTACTATCCTATACAGGCTTAACCAAAGGGATGTTCTTACCTTTAGGGCTTGAAAATATAACTTCCAAATCTGTCGTCAGTTGTATGGTGTTAGGTAATCCTGCTCTTTCCAATATAGACTCAGGCTGTGGTCTGACATGAACGAGGAGAAGGAAGTCGATAAAACCTTACACCTTGAAATACAAAGTCTTGAGTATTGTAGAGTACAAAATAAAATGTTAAAAAGTCAAACAGCCGACTGAAAAACAGACAGCGACATGGAAAAAAAAAACACCGTCTGTTGATACATTTTGACCAGCCATAAGTCCAACATGAGGCTGACATCTTAAAACTACCACACAAGAAATGTGTTCGCTGTCACCTTCAATATGGCTCATCTTCTCTACAACTATTTAGCCTGTTGCCGGTGTCAGCTTTGGTCCATATCGGACCATTGGTTCATGTTGACAACATATCAATGTGAGCCGATAGTCCATGTCAATTTTTGACCATGTCAGCCCAGTGTCCATGTTCGATCACGGCCGTGGCTAGGTGTAAGAATATTGTATGCGTGGATGGAGCTTTAGAGTTGTAGAAAGGCTAAAGTAGGACATGGGACAAACCAACGACAATAACTGTTCAAATATTCGCCAAATTCTAAAACAGACGGCGTGGTCGAGTCGGTAAAGATCATGGTTGCTTAACCGAAAAGTCTCGAGTTCGAATCCTCGGGCAGATGGGGACAGCCACTCTTCTAGGAGAGACAGCACCAGAATCAAACTGCTTCCTTGTAGCTTGTTCTTGGTTGGTCAAAGGCTATGGAAGCCAATCAAAAAAAGAAAAGCAGGCTGAAATCTGAGTCAATGGTTATTAATGGAAATTAATATAAGCTTATGGCCTCAATGACACATAACAAGTTGACACGTATACGTAATTGTGTTGGAGGGATCCCTTCCAATACTAAAATTTAGAACGAAGAAGTAGAAAGAAGCAAGCAGACTATAAAACCCACCAGTTGTAGTAGCTTGTAGATAAAAAGAGTTACAATACACTATTACCTTAAGTTAAAACAGTAACTTGGATTTTTCGTCGGATCAGGGCACAAGTTCGTGTAACAGTCACCAAACCAAGGCCATGACCTGTCTTTCAGCCTTTCAAGAAGTTGAGCGGGATCTGAACATTGTAATTTAGTTCATAAACCAAACAATGATTTCTCTTTTTAAATAGTACAAATTATCAATTTGAAAAAAAAATTATATAAATGTTAGCCAGCTTCGAGGAGTTGAACATAAAAGACGAGGAATTTCTGAAATTGTTTTCCTTATACATTAAAAACGTGAAGCATGATAGTTTGGTTAAAATATTCGTTCCCTGCGACTATTTTAATTTAGTTTTGTGGATATAATGGGTTTTTTTAAAATATGAGACTACATCTATATGTGATGTTGAGGGTAAAATAATGTGACGTTATCTGCCTCAGACCCATAACATACTTCAGATCTAGGATTTAGAGTTAGGTTGGTAATGTTGAGAAATTAAGCAGGCCGATGTTCTTAATTCTTTTTTGCAAATTTTGTTACCTTAAGCTTAAGCCTAGTTATAGCCTTAGCCATTCTAAACGCTACATCGAACACTAACCAGTGTTTCTTCCAGACTTTTTTCTCCGGGGGGGGGGGGGGGGGGCTTGAAATTTTCGGGGGGGGGGGGGCGGTAGAGACTTTCTTCGGGGGGGGGGGGACTAAACTCTGACACTAACACAAACTATAACCCTGAATTCCATCTATACACCGTATTGTTCAGATAGATTCTTTTATAAAAAGCCCTTAGACCAACCTAACTTAGTGTAAAAATTCAACATTCAGACATAAACGAATAGCGTCAATTGAAATAACTGTTGTTCTCTTTTTTGTCGAGGTTTATTTAAATAGATATTTAAAAAAAAACTACTATTAAATGAATTATCTTACAAACATTCTGCGAAGAAAAGTATTGAAATTCTAACTGTCCGGGTATTGAGCTATAAGGGGTCATCCATAAATGACGTCACACTCGTAGGGGGGAGGGGGGGGGTCCGTAATTTTGTGACGATGTGTGATGAGGGGGAGGGGGGGGGGGGTCAGATGTTGCGACGTCACATTTTTGCATTATAAAAAAGCAATGTTAGAAAACGAATTTTAGACGTTATTTCGCGTTTTAGATAACTGTTTTAATAAATTGTAATAGTTTAGACAAGATTTTGGAAAAAATATCGATGTTTAAAAAAAAATTCAACGGCAATTTTGAGGGGGGTTGTAGGTTGAGGTGTGACGTCATGTTAGGGGGGGGGGGGTCTGGCTTTTTGTGACGACGTGTGACGGAGGGGAGGGGGGGAGGTAAAAATCGTCAAAAAAAGCGTGACGTCATTTATGGATGACCCCTAATGGCAAACCTTTCAACAGTTTAACCAATAAGAATGCAAGCTTCTGTGATGTTATAATCTACATTTAAAACAAACGTTAAACAAATTTACAAGAGGTTATTATAAAACGTCGCTAGGAAATATTTTATCAACAACGCTAAGCTAACAATGAACATCGAGAAAATGATATCGCTAGCTCTAGTCCAAATCCTTAAATTACCAGTTCATCTTAACAAGGAAATCATCAAAGTAGGTACTCCAAACGGATTTTTCAAATCAGTCACACAATAATGGCTTTGGTTTTCCTGCATAGTACTAATAATTCTAAGAACATGGATACCAACTTTATGTCTGTAGGACAATTAGAAAAAAAGTTATGCGCTTAAGAAACACGCGTTTTTTTTTACCTTTTACGGCCTCATGAGGACCCGACTTTAGCACCGATTATCTCAAAAACTATAGCAGCTATACCCATTCTCTAACTTAATTCCAATAAAAGAGTAGATAGATTGTAGTCTCAATTTTTTTCAAACTAGTATAACAAGTTAAAGATAAACGTTTTTTGTCTTAAAAATCGTACTACACCATATTTACCAAAAATTTGACAGGGCGAAAAAAAACTAAAAAATCACCAATTTTCACAAAACCACTAAAACTCTTCTATTGCATGCACAATAATCACCTTTATATCGATTTAAAGGGGAAAATGTTACCTAATTATGTAAATTAAATTGAGTGCTATAAATCATGCAGTTAAATGTCCAGATTTGAGAAAATAAGGTGGGGGTGAACATTTTATACCTCAACACGGCTTTAAGTCAGTTTTTTTTAATTGACAAAGAATTACTAAAACTTAACAGATATATAGAAAAAGTTATTTATTTGTAACTACAGTTAATCTACGTTTAAAAAGAAACATTCTCAGTGAAATAATTTAGTGTTAGATCGCTGAAAAACGTTAATAAAAATGCACGATTTCAGGATTAAAATCGGGCCGAGATTAAAAATAGACAACCTATTTTAGACTTATTTTTAGCAAATTACGACCCGTAAATGAAGAAAAAAGAAACACAGTGTGATAAAGTATACCCATAACTGTAAAGACTAATCGAATTATATATTTAGCAGATAGTTTGGACATTTTAAATCGGATAATCAGTTCTTATTAGCGTTTTTATCGCAATTTTCTGTAGTTTTCTCTCGAAACGTTGCCGGTCGAAAAACTAGGTCAGCGTGACCTTTTACTAAATATATTCAAATTTTACAGATAAAGTTTAGTTTTAAATTATAAATACTTAAATATTTTCATATTTTATTGTATTCTTTTTAATATTGAACTGTTTTTATTGTGATATAATGCGTAAGAAAAAATAGATTTCTATTCAAACACGTCAGGGGTCTGATCCGGGCCGGGCTTTTATTTTCTTTGTAAAAAATTTCGTGATCGCGTCGGCGAACGGGAGTTACACATGGTTTCGTTATCGCGCTTTGCCATTCGCGCCATCTTTGATATTGTAAAGATAGTTTCGCATTTAAATAGAAAAATGGACGATCTTTCTAACCATGCTAGTAGAAAATTTGTATTTTTAGTGAATTTTGGTGAAAATTCAATTTTTCGTAGAAAATTTGAGAATTAAACCGTTTTTACTAAAATAATTTGTTAACATTTTATACGAGACTAAAGGTCATTCAATCCTGCGTACGATAAGCTATGTTTAGAATTCATACGTCACGTGGCGCCGAAGCGCAAAGCGTCAGAATGCGATAGGGGTAAAAACGGGTCTGCCATTTTGCCGATAAAAATCGTTGCGGTGATGTTTTTCAAGCTACAAAAACATGTATTCTTCCTTTACCAATATAAAAACAAACAACACATTATTGTAGAGCTTAAGTTAAGCTTTCTAACCATACCATTTGTATTAGTATACGCTTAATTTTTATGGGAGAACTTTGTGATGGAAAGTAGTGAAAAAGTAAAGAAAATGAGCAGAAACCTCGATTTTCGGCAGTTTGGAGAAACAACTTCAGTATTATACTTCAGATATGGATCAAGATACAGGTATTTTTAAAAAGATGGTGTGGCCTTTTCCGGGCTGTGTCTAGCCACCCCAAAATAAAACATCGCCCTTATCCTTTTCATGGAAGTCCTAGCATAGACAACAGCAGAAAACAATTTCGTAATAAGCAATTCATGCGCTGCCGGTATTTCTATAAGAATCGTATATAAATAACTAAAAACCCCAACAAAGAATAGATCCAGGTCTGATTGACAGTGTGCTGTTTACTTGGAACTACTGAGTCACGATTCAGTCTCTTACTCGTTTAGATTACATTCTAGATCAAACAGACTTCGCAATTATAGCGATAATCATTACTTTACTTTTAATCTAGATCTAGATTTTTAATTTAGACCTACCAATACAAATAAAATTATATTATTTTTTTACTAAATTATATTTTACCGGCTTTAGCGACAATGTCAAGTGTTAGTGTTATAATTATTAATACTATGTAAATAACATGTGCCATTCGTTTTATTATCAGTGCATCCATATTTCTTAGGCTGCAAACAAACCATTCCTTTCATCGGAAGTGCGAGCAATTCAATACAAGTGAGACACTTCGCGTGGGTGCGCAATTAAAAGAATTGACTGAACAAGTGTGATCGATAGTAATAGTGTTTTTATTTCCTAGATAAGCGTGGACTGCTATATTTATGTATTGAATACCTTTACTAGATTAAGAAGCGCCCTGTTTTAGTTAGTTTAGATATTTAAATTATTATCACGTGTTTACAGAAAAAACATTTATTTTCTTCTTTAAGTGGATTATTGCATAAAAACTTGTTTTTAAACGTCTTTTTTAATGAATTTTTAGAAACTGGAAGTAGAATAAGTACTACTTCCGGTTACCGAAAATCGTTCAAAAGTGGCTAGAAAACTCCTAATTTGATATAATACTTATACATCAAATTTAGTCATCAGAACTGAAACGATACTCAAGTTATCGTGTTTACAGACAGACAGACTACACAGAGGACAGACAGGAACGACAGACAGACAGGAACGACAGACAGACAGGAACGACAGACAGACAGGAACGACAGACAGACAGGAACGACAGACAGACAGGAACGACAGACAGACAGGAACGACAGACAGACAGACAGACAGACAGACAGACAGACAGACAGACAGACAGACAGACAGACAGACAGACAGACAGACAGACAGACAGACAGACAGACAGACAGACAGACAGACAGACAGACAGACAGACAGACAGACAGACAGACAGACAGACAGACAGACAGACAGACAGACAGACAGACAGACAGACAGACAGACAGACAGACAGACAGACAGACAGACAGACAGACAGACAGACAGACAGACAGACAGACAGACAGACAGACAGACAGACAGACAGACAGACAGACAGACAGACAGACAGACAGACAGACAGACAGACAGACAGACAGACAGGACAGACAGACAGACAGGACAGACAGGACAGACAGGACAGGACAGGACAGACAGACAGACAGACAGACAGACAGACAGACAGACAGACAGACAGACAGACAGACAGACAGACAGACAGACAGACAGACAGACAGACAGACAGACAGACAGACAGACAGACAGACAGACAGACAGACAGACAGACAGACAGACAGACAGACAGACAGACAGACAGACAGACAGACAGACAGACAGACAGACAGACAGACAGACAGACAGACAGACAGACAGACAGACAGACAGACAGACAGACAGACAGACAGACAGACAGACAGACAGACAGACAGACAGACAGACAGGACAGGACAGGACAGGACAGACA